TCCTTATCGGCATCCTTGCGGAACATCTTGCCTAATTTGCCTTCACTGAACTCAACCTCAGCATCCGAATCCAAGTCTTCGTCACCACTGGCAGGGCCCTCGTCGTCTTCGTTTTGGTCATCATCGCCATCTTCTCTTTGGGCAAATCTAGGTTTGCGATGTGTTTTTCTGCCAGTGTCTTCCTCTTCTGGCACTGCCTCGACCTTGCTACCGCCCTTGAAAAGCTGAACGCCGCCCTCCATTTGGCCAAGAAGCTTTCGCTCAGCTTGAAGGCCAACAATCATCTCTTCTCCTTCTCCTCGCTCGGCATCATCATCCTCCTCCCGGTCGAAGCTGAAGCCCTTGTCGCTGGTGATCCAGATGGCATCACCATCAATCTTCAAGCCACTACGATCCGACATGGGAGCATGAAGCTTCTTTTCCTTTTCGTCAAGTCGCCTTCGTCCAGTCTTGCCTGTGATCTTCGCCAATGCCAGTTCCATCGATGGCGTGGGACAAGGGTCTGGCATAACCTCCATATTAGACACTGTAAAATCTCCCAAACCAGGGACGTGGACTCGTTGGTTGTGCGATGCGAAATTTGTACCTCGCAGGTACCCGGATAGTACAATCGACCGGTCGCAATTGGGGTCTTCTTCTATCTTGGTGGGGTGTGTGATATCTCGGAAGCTGTCGATGATGGAGTAAGGGTGAGAATTGCGCCAGACGAGAGGACGTGGGTTCTTCATGACAGAGAGGAAGCGTGACAAGTTGTGGATTTCGCGGTCGGGATATCGGCCGTTCATAACACCGGAGAGGTAGAAGAGGTGGGCGCCCTGGTACAGCTCTGTCCAAAGTCTCCTCTTGAGGCGCTTCTTGGCATCCTTCAGCGCTTGTGGTTTCCGGAAAAGATCCAGATGTGTCAAGATGCCAAAGACGTTTCCTGGCATACCTGTAGCGGCAAGAATGTTGAGAAACTCCATAGTTTCCATCTCAAAGCCGTAATTCCCATCAATCATCAAGAGGACGATATCGGCCACCTTTGCGATGTCGACCATGGCCTCCAGTTCGTTTGGGCACTCGACAAAGGTTAGGCGTTGCTTCTTCGATGTGACAACTGTCACAGGGCCCTGAGGGTCCGATATCGTTTCTTTGGCATATCGTCGAATGAGCGATTTCATCAACGTCGTCTTTCCTACACCAGGAGGGCCGACGATTGTAACGAGTCGAGGCGGGGCCTCATCGGGCAATCGATCCACGAGCGGGACATGGAGACGCTTTTCCTTGATCTATTACTGAGATTTAGCATTGGCACTTCTTATTCAAGGAAACGGAGAAGAGCCCTACATCTTGCGATCTCGCTGCTTGTCTCTGGAGCTTGCCAGGGTTGGCGAAGGAAAACGCCTTTGGGTTGCGCTCTGATATTTATTAGTATGCGCCAATCGCCAATTGGAACTGTGTATAAGAATAACTCACCACCTGTATGCTGCTTCTTCTCCTTCTTGTCCTTGGACTTGCGATGCGGTTTGTGCACTTGATCTTCCATTTTTGCGTGCGACTTCGTCACCTTCCAAAGACCATCAACTAACTGGCACGGTCTTTTGCCTTTCACTTTGCTTCCAAATTTTTTTTAGACGCTAATAGAATTGTTATCGATAAGAATCGCGTTTCGCCAAGAACGTTGCGGGGGCCATGCGCCACTGCTCTCAGTATAAGCCACATATGGCTTATACTATCTACGGAGTTGGCCTATCCACTCTAACATTTAACGTTATTTTTTGTGAGCTGCCCGTTCAAGCATAGATTCACTGGCCTGGTCAACGTGCAGAACCAACGCGTGTCTAGGTATTGTCCAGTGACGCATGCTTTGATACTTGACCGCTGTCTTGTGGGACTCACTTCGAACAAATTCTGCGATTTTCAAGTGGTGATCAGCTGAGTCTCTAAGCTGGCAGATAGGTGAACAGAGTAAGACGCGGCTGAATTATGACCCATCAAGTGTAATTTCCATCGAAAAGGCGCCAGCCCCATGCAGGTAACATTCATGTTTTGTCAAACAGTCATCAGATGGTGGGTAATAAGTAAATACCATGGTATACTAGCAGTGTTATTACAAAAACCCGTCTTGAGATGCAACCCATTTGAGGCATACAGAGTGTCAGTCTCACCATTTTGTCTGATCTAAGATCCTATGTTGTCTGGTAGATAGATCCTCACGGGATTCCGTACTAGCCAATTCGAGGTCTCTAGTTCATCTTCGAATTTGGCTGAATGGCCAGTGGAAACGCCAAGTCGTCGAGTGAGTAATCCCCGGCACTGGCGTAATGGAAGCTAGTCCTCTGCACGACCATGAGTCCAAAGTGACCAATACCAGTAGCATTCTGCTCCTCTTTATTCCTAAAGCAGCATCCATTACTCTCACACATATCAGGGAATAAGGTGGTGTTCTACGTATACGCTTACATAGTACGTACGTATTCCCGGATTCTTCGTCAGCCTTGTACGCACCCATGGCATATGTAGACTTCTACTACCGTGCATACAGTCCTTCGTCAGCCCTAACGCCTGGTCGATGGTATCCGTCATGACTCACGCGCGTCGTAGACCACGCAAGAATCCTACTGGTCTTCCTTCGTTCGTAGTCATCGTAACAAGAGTGTCTTGCAAGTTATGTTGCCAGGATTGAGTATATAACAATCAAGATGTGACGCCTTATGGACTTCATTCTCAGGCAGAAGCAATCCACAGTTCCGTCCAAGAACAACGATACAAACTATTAAGCTTAATACTCTAATCCAAACCTTGTCTATAACCACCTACCCAATCACTTCAAACCTCTTTCCCATCCTTCAATATGTCCAACAACTCAGGCAACAATGTTCCCACAACCTCAGACTGTAGGCATCATGTTGGCGGCAAGCTGGACTTGACTAACAACTAAATATAGCCCAGGTAGATTCTACCAAGTATAACAGTTCCAAGGTCGCCGATCCCGAAACTGCCTCTATTGCTACCTTCTCCTCGTCAGCGCCCCTTGTCAAAAGGGACCAGAAGGAAAAGAATGGAACGGAAATCGATGCCAAGAAGCTCCAGGAACAGGCCCTCAGGTCACAGATTCGATTTAGTATGTAGTCGACGGAACTCAAGGCCTGCGACATGGTGCTGATTTAGAAAGCGGACTGAAAATATGGTGAATGGCACGGGCACATAAATGCAAAGGGGTTGAGGGTATCTTTAGTTGAAATACAGGACTGGTTGTCATACTCGATGAGTCTTCAGAATCGAGGAATAAACGATTGTCCATTCGTTAGATTTGAGAGTTGTGGCTTTAGAAACTATCGTTCAAAATATCTTCGTTCATCTTGACCATAGAGGGGCTGTATTCGGACGAATTCGGATCAGCCCCAGCATCCAGTAGAATGTCACCAACAATCCTTTGACTGGCTTCACGTGCTGTCAGACAGTGTTAATATACAGTAGTCCATTTGAGAGCGGGATAGACCTTACCAGGTGTTTGCAAGAGCTTCGAAGGAGGCAGCGCGAACTGTATCGTCTTGGGCGGGCTCATGCCTGCATATAAATCGATATCCTCATCCCCTTCATCACTATCCCAGTCGATTTCATACTTATCTTTTCCAGTGGCTGTGACAGTGTCATCGGCGAAGACATCCCGCGTCTTTCGTGCTGTTGCTGGCGTCTGAACACTCACACCAGGTGTTCGAGGACCCTGCGTTGCCGCCGCAAGTCGTTGTCGAGCGTTACTTTTGTAGGGCGACATAAAAACTTCACTGCGTAGAGTAGGTACTGCCATCTCGGGCGAGGAGCCTGGTGAGTCTTTCCATACGGGTGCGTCCTTGCGTTGTGCGCTCTTAGGTTGTGCGCTCTTGAGTGGGGAGATACGAAGGGCGGGCTTGTGCGGAGTTGCCTGAATGCGATAGTTCTTGTCGAGAACACGGTGAAGCAAAGGATCCTTATGAGGCTGAACAGACTGGTCGCCGGTCATTGTGCGGTCGCGCTGGGCCTGCGGAGTCATTGACATATCGGGGAGTCTAGCGGTGTGTTGAGCGAACAAGACAGTTGAATCCTCGTTATTGTCTAGGACTGTGGTGTTGTTTTCTTCCCCTTCCATCTCGCGTTTCATGGCTTCGTAAGGAGACTCCATGTCAGAAAATCGCGTCCTCGTCTTTCCAGGCCGGGGCGTGCTTCCTGTGAGCTCAGCATCATCAAGGAGGGAGTCCTCGGCCTGGAAGGTAGATTGCTCGATGCCGGTTGTGGCGGTGACATCTTCGTGATGCTGAGATGTGTATTCTTCTGTTATATCCTCCCTCATAGCGGTACTTTCTTCCACGTTTTCGCTTTCGTCGTCGTTGGCGAGCTCTTCATAACCGGAGAGAGATACGTTGGCCGATGCCTCGAAAAATTGTTTCCAGAACTACATGTCGTCAGCATCACTTTCTTCGAATCCCGGTGACCAAGTGCACCTTTGAAGCTTCCCAAACAGCACGAGAGTGTTCTCCATACTGTTCTACTAGCGGTAGAATGCTTGTTGTTACTATGCGATGCGATTTGCTAAAGTTGTGATCGATTTCTAGCTAACGATCAGTCCTGGATCGCGACAATTCGAGATTCTTGTATACCTTGAAGAGTCAGAGTTATTGATTGCTCTAGTCTTTCAAGCTCTTCAGTGAGAGACAGGTTGCGCGCTGCTACGCTTTGTCGCGACATTTTCGTTATGGGTAGGTTGCTTGAAGGTTCAATATAAACAAACAGCCCAGTAATTAATGCTAAGAACTAACCTAACGCGTGGGGTCATTTGGAGGGGCATCCACCACTAAAGATGGCCTGCCGCAGCAAGGGTGCAACCAAGGTACATCGATGGCGGGGTACGGATTATCAATAGAATGAATAGGTTAGTACCTAGGTACCTAGGTTTAGACACGACTATTACTTCCAGGCCTGGCAGAATTTCATTTATATCTTCATGTCCTTCATGGCTAATACTTAATATTGTATATAGTGCCCTAGTGTTTCGTGTAGTAGTGTCCCATATCGAGCTTTAACAGTAATTGAGCGACCATATGGTCTTCACCAATACCCTCTTGTTTCAAACCCAAATCGTCCGAGACTTTATTGCTTGTTGATCGGCTCTTTTCGGTCAAGGCTCGACAGACAGTCATGAAGATCTGCACTTTCTTCTTGAAGTTGCTATACAAACGCTGTAGTTCTTCCAGTTCTCTCGGGTCGGTAGTTTGGTTCTTTCCAAGAGCCTTGAATCGTGAAAATTTGGCATATTCAAGAACTGCACCAAAGATTTCTTCGAGCAAATTCAGCACTGGTTGCTGTCGTTTCCGGAGAAACAGAGAAAGCATGACTCGATCAAGCACTCGGGAGTGAAACTCTCGTAGTCTATCAGGACTCTCAACCTTATCTGCTATACTCTTGGCTGTCGAAGGATTCTTCAAGTCAGCTTCGATTTTGTCTAGTTTAGCCTCGAATGCTTCCCAAGGAATGGCAACCCCAGCATCCATGAAAAAGGAGGTGATACCGGAAACGAATTGGTGGGCCTCTCGAGTGAATCGGTAGGAAATATCCTCAGGGTCGTTCCAGCGACTGGTCCTAGCATTGACATCTAAGAACAATTGGTTGACGACATAAACCATCCTCATGATTCTTAACAACAGCTTGAAGACTCGATCGTACTGCGTCAAAATCACAGGGGTGATGATGCTGGATAATGCCGCAGGGGGCTTGTACGACAATCGTAAAAAGTCGAGAGCTTCCAAGGAATCTGGGTTCATGCATTTGTCGATCTCTTCCTGCGACAAATCTCGGACAGCAAAGCTCATGTCTCCTGGGAGCTCAGACGCATCCCTCGATATACTGGCCAGCTTTTCCTTAGCGAACCCATTGTCTGAATCAAAGCTCTCGGCTAGAACGCCCATAAGAGCTAGACGTAATTCCGAGCTCGCTGGTGGCCAAGTGTCTCGTCCTCCCAGGCGAAGACCCATGACACCTCCTTGTCGTGCAACTCCCGCCTGTCTTTCGGCTGTTTCTAGGTCTGGATCGAATAGGGCATGGGACAGGCGGCTTACGAACATGCCGCTACCAAAGAGGTGAAAATCACGGTGCATCTTCAGGTGACCACGTAAATCATGGTTATTAAACAGCAGCCTGAGACTTTCCTGGTTAACAATCTCAGATTGTGCAGAAGCAATACCCCCGAACGAAAGCACGGGAAGAAGTGATGGATGAGGCGTGAAGTCGAAGCCAATGGTAGGAGATTGAGACTTGCGGGTAGCAGACTGGGTGAGACGTTCACGCAAGATTTGGCTTAATGTATCCTCTTTGCTCATATCATCAGGCAAGGGCTCATCCATACGTGCCGTAAGAGTACTCAAGAGCCCTCCCGCTGTTTCTGATGTGGGGTCTTCACGAAAGAACGGGTTTTCAATCTCAGAGCCAACCGCGAGTCCATTGCTTTCCGAGTTGACTCTGTCTCGAAATGAACAGTCGCGGATTGCCCCCAAGAGATCGTCGTGATACTTGGCTACACGTTTCTCAAGGTTCTCGATGGCGTTCCAGTCGTAAAGCCAGCTGACCTTCGGGGGGTCGGTCGCACTGATGATAGCTGATGAAGCCAAGGGATGCTCGGGGTGGCACTCCCTAATGAACCGCAGATTCTTGCCTGTCTCAAATATAGACTTGGCAATATCGTAGGGCATGAAATGGGGCATTTTGGTCTCGTCCAAGAGAAAGTCAATGTCCTCAACTTCCTGCCCGAAATCGTCCGTATATTTCTCTGTGTCGACTTTGACAAAGCCTTTGCTCGCTCCAACATTGGCTTTGGTTAAGGGAATCCCTTTTTCTTGCCTGGTCCCGATCCATTCTTCCAAGAATTCGATCCAAGGCGAAGAGACTCTCTGTAGAACTTCGCGCATGATGCCTCGGAGCTGTTCTTCACCGTAATCGACCGAGTATGCTTCATGGAATACTTGGGAGAGAACATGTTGGTCTTCGTAACCTTTACGGAATTTGGAAGCAAGTCTTTGAAATGGTATCAGAATTGCAAGTATTCCTTTGACTGTTGATTGGAGTTCCAAAAGCGATCGCGGTGTCTGCCTATGGAGAGCGACATGTCGCTGAACGTCCTTCAGGATTTGATCAAGCACACCAGCCAAAGCAACGCCGCATTTGGACGTGCGCTTTGCATAAGTAGAATTGACAAAGGACCGCAATTCGAGCAACATTGATCCGCAGCGGTGACATTGTTTTTCCAGACCCTGGAGAACATCTTTGGAATACCCTGTGACCCGCATGCTTGGAATCGCCGGTGCAAAAGAGCGGCCTTTCTCCTGTTTGGAGTAGAAAATTGATTCCTGACCAAGGGCCAGAGCAAGCAATGAAGAAAAGTAGGTTTTGATATCGACAATAGGAACCTCGGAGCTTTTCAGTTCAAGGGGGTCGGCGGACCAACCTAGTAAGGCATCGTAGACCGCGGCTCCAGCTTCCGTCACCAAAGGCTGTTGCTGGCCAGCTGGCGTACCGGAGATGAAGCTATCCCAAGTTTTGTGTTCTGGTGTCTTCTCTTCTGGTTCATCGGTGTGTATCCAGATGTCATCGCCAATTTCCTGATCATCTAGACTTTCCGTGGAGGCTTGGATGTTGTTGGTAGACGCAGTTACTTCTAACTCTGGCTCTGGCTTGTCTTGAAGCTCAAGCTGGGACGGTAACCTGAAGAAGCCACTTTGCTCTACTGACACTTGGCCAAGCTGGACAAGCTCCGATTTTATATCTTCTAAGAACACGGATCAGTAAGGGTATGGTTCAGTTTCAAGGTCCTAAGTTACCTCTGAGCCCAGGAGAAAAGAAGGGATTTTGAGCCTGTGGGTCATCAGCTATCTGATGGAGGAGTCTCGACGGTCCCCAAAAGTCAGGTATCGTGAATACAGCTCCAAGGTCTTCCTTGGATTCAGCCATGATCCTTTCACATAAAATGCATGTGATTCAGTAACATAGTGCTCAGCGGCGCGTTGTGGGTTACAGTGCCGAGCTTGAGCTTGAGTCTTGTTATCCAAGGTTAGGTACTGTACGGATACGTCTGAAGGGCAATTAACGCCATATCAATATCCATACTCCTCCGTGGACGCGCTTTAGTGGGCGTTAGGCGCGTTTCAGAGCCCCTGTGCACTAAAAATGGAGCACCACAAGCTTGAGGTGGGGCCCGCTTTACGCAGCCCATTGGGTGCTAGGTACCTAGGTAGCTTATGATTTCATCAGAACCTCCCATTGCATTCGACAACTGGTTCGGTTCTTGAAATCTTCAATTATGTTCAAGGCATCCAGATCATCCATACCACTAAGCAACAACCCTGATACACAATTGTCACTTACGCAGAATATCTCGCGAACATCACCATAAATCGACCGATCTCCATCTCCTCATCACGATCACAATGGCGCCGAGGAAGCGCGCTCGGGCTAGCACCCAAACTGTTGCGACACCAACTCCTACGCGAGATGACGATGCAATGGACGTCGACACTCCCCAGACTGGTGATAATGAAGATTCTAGCGAGACAAAAGAGCAACAGCCAGACAATAACTACAATGATCTTTGGACGGATGATCAAGTGGCTTCATTATTCAAGGGTGTCATTCGCTGGAAACCAGCTGGTCAGTTAGGTCTCTTCCTTCATGTCGAGCCATTCCTAACCAAGACTGTGTAGGCATGCACAAGCACTTTCGAATGATAGCAATTTCGGAGCACTTGCGGAACCATGGTATCGACCCTGATTTCTACCAGCACACACGCATTCCGTTTATTTGGCAAAAGCTCCGGACATACTACAATGTTGAGGTGATCGATGAAAGAGAGAACTTCGACGATGACGAGGTCGAATACAACGACTTCTGTTTGCCAAGACCGCAATTCTATGAAGCCATGATGGCCCGAGCCGTGGCCGACGTCAGCGAAGCTCCAACATCACCACCCCAGCTCGAGCTTTCTCCGGCACCGTCACCCGCCAAGAAGCGCAAGCGAGGTGATACGAAAACGAGAGGCACATCGGTAGAAGATACGGAGGACGGTACGGACGCTCCATCACCACCGCCCAAGTCCAAACGAGGTGCTTCGCGACAAAAGAAGAAAGCGACCCCAGCCAGGGCTGAGAAGCAAGAAAAGGCGGAGACCACAGAAGAGGAAGAGGATGAGGAGGACGAGGAGGAAGAAGAGGAGAGTGACGAACAAGACAGCGAGAGCTCTTCTAGTGAGGAAGAAGAAAGTGCTGAAGAGAGCGAAACACAAGTATCAAAGTCCACACGTGGTGCCAAGAAGGGCCAGAAGGCTAAGACTACTAAAGCAAAGGCAAGACCAAAGAGGAGACGTTAACTTAAGAAGTAATTGGTATGATGCAAACGATAGATGGGGCGGTTCAGATACCCTTAGGCATGGAGTCACAATAAGTATTTATTCACATCAAAAAGCGAGCTCCTGAGCTCTCATGCTTTTCACGGCCTAACATCAGGTTTTGTTTCCTATTCTCCTTCCCACTCGCTGCGGTACTTTACCGTGGTTCTCCAGTCCCTTCCTATGGGAAAGATACTCTCCACATCCATAGTTGACCGTTGCAACGGGCCCGGTTCTGGCATCTTGGGTAGTTCAGTGAGAGGTTTCTTCTGTAGTAGATCCCACATCTCAGTCTCGGCCTGCCAGCTGACGTACTGGTCGCGTTCTTCGGCATATTGCTCCTGCCGCCGCTCACTTGCGATGCGGTTCTTGAGAGTCTCTTTCTTTCGATATGTTTCTGGGAAGTCGGCGGCAGAGAAGAGCAAGACTTCGTTGGCCTCCCGTGCGATAGCAGCCTCCTCTTCGTTCAAATGTGAGACGGGTTCCTCAAAATCAGAGCTTAGGGCCTCGTTTTCAGAAGAGTTGGCGGCATCGCCTACATCAGATGGCGCTTCAAATGCCTGGTCGGCCTCCTCGCCGTTGTTGGAAAGAATGGTTTCCACTTCTTCATAGCTAAGAGGTTCACGTTCTCCTTCCTCCTCCCGCTGGGGCGGCTCCTCGTGGACCTCAAGTCGTAGTCTCCGTGCGCATTGGTTCCAAAACTGATGGGAATTATGATTCAATCCCAGAGACGATACGGCTGCTTCCACATCTTGTGCTCTGATGATCTCGCGAGTAGTTGGTACGAGTTCCTTTTTGGCCCTAATTCTTGAGTCGCTGAGAAATATCGTTGTTTGAACCAATCGTTTCGTAATTGAGACTGCCAAAGAGTGAAAGTCGTCGAACGTAGTGGCCCACATCGAGGGAGGCCTGTTGTCGATAGAATCCCAGTTCTCACTAGGAATGGAGGAATTCATAAAGATACGCTCAGAGAGTCTTAGCCAGGTATGCAAGTTGAATAGCTTGGAGAAAGGAAGATCCTGGCCTTCAATGACGGTTTCGCCCTTGTCTAGCCGGCGAGCAATCCTTGGGCTAATGTCCCAGCAGTCTCCCCATTTGCTCTCTTCTCGCTGTTCTTCTTTTCGTTCCTGGCGCACAGAAACAGCATCTGCAGCCTCGTCCAAGGCGTGGCAACATTGCTGACTTAGTTCTACGGCGGCTGGGATCTCCGGGAATTCAACAGCAGGGCGTCTGACTTGTCGTTGTCTCAAGAGCCGTGCTGTTCGGAGCACGTCGAGGTAATGGTTCACCTCGATCTCGCTCTTGGTGCCTATACGGGATGCAATACCTGGAAGATCACTCTGGTCAAGACGGGCGATCGCTTCGAAGAATAGTTTCTTCTCCGGGATCGACCAGTAAGTGAGACCTATTTGGCTTGGATACAGAACGGTTTCTTCGCTGTCGTCGGTTAAGCAGACACGCTGAGCTGCATCTTCAATATCTCTATTGAGAAGATCCAAGTACTCGGTGTTGAGAACTCCTTTGTGTCTTTTGAAGAGTCTCGGGGATGAATCTTCCTCAGCGCCCCTTTTCAAGGAAGAATCCTCGTTGTCTTGGTCTGTTTCATCCTCCATCTCACTATACACACTACCAGATGCGTCGGTTTGATCAGCAACGTATTGCTCGTCCAGTGGCGGTAACAGAACATCGTCTCCCAACCCCAAGTTTCCAACTTGCTCTGTGTCGCTCAAATCCTCATCGAGGGGCTCATAATTGGTTTCCGACTCCATACTGGTTTGTGTATGATGGTTGGAGAAATACGAGAGGGCGAAAACATGGTACCAAGCAGAATGAACTTGGGGTACTCCTGGCCAAGAGCGGCTATCAAGGTTGGATAAAATAATTTTTTTTTAGAATACTGAAAAGATGATCACAGAGTTGATATTAACATTAACGCATCATTCATACTGCACCGAGATTTTATAGGGGCTTGTCCACTCCTTCAGTTGACGTTGAAATGAAATATTAGTGGAAGAATGCTGCTTACATAATGCATTCACACCTTGGTCTAGGTTAGCATTCGAAGGCTCATGACATCTTAACCATGAAGTATTTTTTATTATCATATATCGATGAGACGAAACACATTTTCGCTGCACCTCTCATCATGTGCCATGTTACGGGCTATACCGCGATGTGTTTTACGGCCCAAAGCTACAAGGTTGCCTTTCATAATAAGCCCACAGCCATTCAGGGCCTTTGCCTTGGCTGTTACTCATGACACCCCCAAGTTACAGCTTCGAGATTATCAAGAAGAATGCATCGACTCGGTTCTTTCCTCCCTAAAGAATGGTCACAAAAGAGTTGGTATATCTCTGGCTACTGGTAGCGGTAAAACAGTAAGCGTATTTCTCTTGCAACGAAAGCTCATTCGATTGACATAAAGAAGGTCATCTTTACACAACTCATTGATAGGATCCCAACAGCAAATGAGGACGCGCAACAGACACTAATATTGGCGCATCGCCGCGAGCTGGTGGAACAAGCAGCCAACCACTGTCAACGTGCGTATCCTGACAAGAGGATCGAGATCGAGATGGGCAATGTCCATGCAACGGGAACGGCAGATATCACAGTCGCCAGCGTACGAAGCATAACGTCACAAGGCCGTCTTAAGAAATTCGACCCGTCCCGCTTCAAACTTTTGCTGGTCGACGAGGCCCATCACATCGTTGCTCCAGGGTACCTCAAGACCCTTCGTCACTTTGGATTAGATGAGAAGCGACCTGACTCCCCAAATCTAGTTGGTGTCTCCGCCACGTTTTCACGTTTCGATGGAGTGAAACTGGGCGCAGCCATTGACGAAATCGTTTATCACAAAGATTATGTAGATATGATCTCCAAGAAGTGGCTGTCGGACGTCATTTTTACGACGGTTGAGTCTAAGGCAAACTTATCCGAAGTTAAGAAGGGGGCTTTCGGCGATTATCTCCCTTCAGATTTATCCAAGGCTGTCAATACCAGTGAGATCAACGATATAACAGTCCGCAGCTGGATGGCGAAAGCCCCGGGAAGAAAGTCAACTCTTGTGTTTTGTGTTGACGTCGCCCATGTGGTGGAGCTGACAGATCGGTTCCGACAGCATGGCTTTGACGCGAGATATGTTACTGGAGAGACCCCCAAGATTGAAAGAGGCGAGACGTTGGACTCTTTTCGAAAAGGAGAGTTTCCTGTGCTGGTTAACTGCGGCGTTTTCACTGAAGGAACCGATATCCCAAATATCGACTGCATTATCCTCGCAAGGCCGACGAGGTCTCGCAACTTGCTTGTTCAAATGATCGGCAGAGGAATGCGGTTGCACCCTGGAAAGAAGAACTGTCATATCATTGATCTGGTCTCGAGTTTGGACACTGGAATCGTGACCACACCAACGCTATTTGGTCTCGACCCTGATATCCTGGTTGAGAGAGCAACAGTGAATGACCTACGCAAGATCAAGGACACGGAGCATGTCACCTCTCGACAACCTTTGTCATACCAGACAACTCCCGGGCCTGGAGCCGATAGTGTCACGTTCACAGACTATGACTCGGTTTTAGATCTTATCGCCGATACGTCTGGCGAGAAACACATCCGGGCCATAAGCAAGTATGCATGGGTTCAGGTCGGAAAAGAAAAGTTTGTCTTATCGTCACCGAGCGGTTCATATGTTCGAATTGAGCGGGTCAGTGAACAGCTTAACACAAAGGGGCCGCTTTACCGAGCAATAGAGGTACGAGCTCTACCGCCTGGCGTAGCAAAAGCACCATACGCAATGCCACGGGAGATTCTCACGGCAGCTACATTCACTGATGCAGTGCATGGAGCGGACAGTTTCGCGGCCAAGATGTTCCCCCACACATTCATTCACCGCTATCAAAGATGGCGGACACTGCCACCTACACAGGGACAAGTTGATTTCATCAATAAGATGCGGGGAAAGGCGGAACCTTTGAGGCTCGAAAACCTGGACAAGGGCAAGGCGGCGGACATGATCACAAAGCTCAAGCATGGTGCGCGTGGTCAGTTCGCGAGAATTGAGGCAGGACAGAGAAGACAAGATAAACAGAACCGGGTGGCCGAGGCTAAGAGACTTCGGGAGCAGGTCAAAGTAGGACCTGTGTCATCATAGTGCAGGAGATGAGCCACATGCAGTGGTGTCTGTGCTTGTGATTGTATGTATAACACGGGATATAGATGGCAGCGGGGGGTTTATGGACTTTTGTATATATAAGTGTATCATAACCACTTACGGAATGTTTCCAGAAGTTGACACGGATCAATGTATGACCATACAACGTTCCAAATAGCCCGATCCACGAGTCTGCCAACGTATGCACCGGCTCCGCCGAAGATGCAACCGCCACAGAACGATCTCGTGTATGCTCAGAACCCAGGACCAAGGGCGCAAACAGTTTATAAAGCTGGCTAATCTTCATATATCGTTGACATCGAGATCTGTCCCTCTGCTCGTGACTCACTAACGGTTAAGGTAGGCGGGAGTCGTCAGCTCATTAAAGACGTTGAGAGAGGGGACATGGCCCTGTTACGTTGAATCGTAAAGCTTTGTACCAAAAGAAAGTTGGGCCAAAACTTATATCAGTGAGGAATAGATACTCATAAGCATTTTTCGTGTGGCAGTATATAAGACAGTGATGGGAATTTACTTCTCTACTGGCAGAAAGCCGTTTACACTGACTACTCCTGATTGGCAGCACATTGCTAATTGTTCAGGATTTTTTGGCTCTATACATTCGACTTGTTCAGGTCTAGTTGGTGAGTTGGAGTGTCAGGCACTGGCAGGCGGCTGCGCAGCTATGTTCAGTTAATAGTTGTTCACCTATACACATTGTGAATATTCGGCTCTCTCCTCCCGCGCACACAATACTCTCAATTTAGAATAAACACAAATCTCTTTTCTTTTCTTTTCTGTCTTTCTGGATATACCTGTTAGAGACTTGTTATCGGAGCCAAACCTTGAAGGCCTGAACCCAACGCCAGCCTTCATCATGACGCCGAACCAGTCGTCAGCCTCATGCGCCCGAATTCCCCCTCCTTCTCTCCTTATAGAGAATCTATGCAAAGCAATACCTCTCAACACAAGTAAAGAAGAGAAACAAGACACCTACCCCAGCTCACCATCTGGGAACAATCTGAAGGCATTCTCGCCACACAGTCCGCGATCTCTCAGAGATTACCTCTGCAGCCCGAACCAGGGCGAAGTATCTTCCGTTGATCTTCACACTCCTCCTGCCGACTCTCAAAGCACCAAGCTCGATGTTGGAGATGGGCGTGAAACCAGACTCAAACACAGCATCGACACCCAAGTCAATCGACCTCGGGAGTATCACAAGCCCTACACTAGCCACCGATCTCAGTTCACCATTCCAGAGCGCAAGCCCGGATTCAAGCTGCTAGAGACATGGCATGAGGAATCCAACTATCCTTGCAACAAAAATTATCCCGAACATAACGACCTCGTCTTTAAGCCTAGAGTCCTCGCTAAGCAGATCGATCCCGAGATACCTCTATCCCTACACAAGTGGCATAGCGAAATCAACTTTCTCGAACCACTCGCTCTTGAAGCAGATATTCGCCAAGAGTATGCTGTTCATGCTACCTACAAGAAGCGCCATCACGATGCTGGTGTCAAAAAGATCAATGATGAGAGACAGGCCACTGCGGAACGGGAGGCTGTCAAGATGCTCGACTGGAACACTCCAATCGAATTCCATGATGTGCCCCGCCACGTACAACAAGCAATATACGACGACAAGGTTGAAGTTGCCGCTTTGACCAGAAAGATCGCCATCCGCGATGGATGTATCGAAGGCATGATTGCTGGAGAATTCACATTTCACCCGGATACTTCTCACTTACCACTTACCGAGGACCAGACGGCGGTTCTTCGTGAAGCTGAGAGTTTTCAGGGGCTGTTCGCGCTGGGAGAGGTTAATGAAGAAGAAGATCAATATGACATTCTTCAGAAGACTTCAAAGAAGGTCAAAGCCCCCAACAAGTCTTCTACTTCCAAGTCTTCGAAGTATGATCGGTGGCTTAAAGAGCAGTCATCCAATACCTGTCCAGCGGCTAAGTGGCTTGCTGACGAGGCGGCCTTCTCGAAGAAAAAGGCACGCAATAAAGCCTTTTCCAAGCAGGTCAAACACCACTTCCCAACTTTCAACTCACCCCACCTGAAAGAACTCCCCAAGGCCGTGGACACCAACAAACTTGAATGGGAAACCGACTATTTCCCCTATATACTCCCTGAGACTGACCATGACTCTGAGCGTCACAATATGTACGAAACCCCTGTTAAGGTTGATGTCCCAAAATGGTTCCCGACCTTCACCAGCTATGGTGTTGTCCCCATCAACCGCCGAAACAGCATCGAGAAGCAGTACAAAGAGTTCCTTACCCAGATCTGGAGACTCGAGAACCAGATACTCAGCAAGAAAAACAACAACAACAACAAGTGGGATAAGAAATGGCACGAACCCAGCTCTCGCTGGTCCGAACCTTTCCAGAAGAAGAGCGGTGGCTAGTGGAAATGCCGTTTCGACCCTGGCAAGCCGGTAGAGGAGCAGTTCTGTCACAAGTACCATAAAGGTCAAGAATGGGTCACATTCGAGAAGGCCGTGCCGCGCGATCTTGTCGAGCAAGATGTGGTTTCTGGGGAATTCAGCTTCGATGATGTTTTCGACATGGACGGTAGTGATGACAACAAAGCCATTGGTACGAAAAAGCCCGAAATTTATCTCAAGGAGATCGAAGCGGCTGTGAAGAAGGCCATTGCGAAGGCTGGTGGTATATGAGCGTGGGATGTAACCACTAAAATTGAGGTTGATTACCTACGAGAGATGAAGGCAAGGAAAGGAGACATCGATGAAGGATAAGTGAGGGCCATGTCATTATAGAACGTTTTCGCATAGATAACTTTGGATGACGTTCTGACGTGCTAACTGTGCTGTACTGCGTTCCTAGGCTTGACATGAAGTGAATAAATGAAATATGCCATATATTACATAGAATACATAAGATGCATGAGTGGCCACTCCACGTTAGCCCTGTGAGCCTTCGATCTCAATGGCAGACACATCAACCACCAAGTCGTCCTCCTCAGTCTTGGTCTTCTCCAGCAGAGGCAACATTTCACCCCCCCTCATCAACACAAGCTTGTTATCATTCTCTCCATACTTCAACCCAACTGTAACTCCATCTAGACCCATCGCTTGAGCCTTGATATTCCATAGCAGCTGCAGAACATCTCCCTCTTTGGAACAACACACATAGCCTAGCGCCACATCCGCAGAGTGCATCTCGCCCTGCACACCCTTCGTGGCTGGTCTCTCACCCACCAGGAGGCCCAGGACATCATTGCCTCGCCATCCCGGAGGCGCTGCTGCCATAGCGCCCTTGAGCTCGCGAATGTACATTGGGCTTGCACTCCGAGCGCCCGCTTTACACTGGAGAACCACCTTGAATGTTCGTGTCGTGGAGGGGAGTGTCCATATCCCTAGAAGATCCATGCCACGGTCTGACTGTCCGCCAACGCGTTTGAGAAAGAAGCCATACTGGGATAGAGTATCGGCGACTGTGTATTCATAATGGGTGCCTCTGTAGACCGAAGATCTTTTGTTCAAGCTGACACGTTCCACGTATGATAAGAAGGATTTGAGATCGGAGTGCTCCTTGGTTGGAGCATCGGGATATATCAATTCAAATGGTTTTGGAGCCTTGGCTTTGCGTTTACTCATCAGCCTTGCACCATTTATTGCGCGGCACCATTTAGTCGACTGCTTTACATGCCTTGAGACATTGAAAAAGCCTCGGAGCAAAATAGGCATTATTCATAGATTGTTGGCGCGATGTATCAAACCTTTCCGTCTTAAAACCGTGGGTTATGAAGATTGAGACTGAATATGCATTAAACGGGGTTACACATAACCCTGTCAACGTTTTCTAAGTGCTATTATTCGAGCTGATTGTATTATAGGAGATGATCAACTAACTGCTCTCACTTAGAATAATTACATTGGCCTCGAGTTAAGGATTATTTATTTAGACTTGGTAAATGAAAAACGCAAGGTTCTTTGCCTCACGTTGTCGGTTAAGCTAAGCAGAAACCGCGCAACCACTCGCAACTACAGGACTCGCTATGAACTATGAGTTCGATATTTTATTCATTGTTGAATTCAATGGCTTTCTTTCTTAGACATATATGTATGTAGTGACATATCCAATACTTTAACTAGTTCACATGTAAAATTCCTGGCGCCAGCGCAGCACAAGTTCCACTCATCATACAACATACCCAGCAATTATACAAAAATGGTCAATAAAACTAGTCCTCTTCACATATCATAGCATATCGCCCTCTGCGTGGTCTTGCATGCCTGGTGGGAACATACTATTAGCCAGGCGTGATGCCGGTTGAGGCGGTGGTTTCTCCCTGCTCCTCTCGTCTCGTGAACGGCTGCTTGGCCCACGTCTCATCCTCGACTGAGGTCTTCGTGTTGCGGGCTTGATCATATTTTCCAAGTAAAAGGCGCTTTCGGTATGCCCTGTGCCAGGCCTCTCATCATCAGCATCAGAGAAGCCCCCCACATACTCATCATCAGAAACAATATCGCCCATCTGTGGTTGATAAGAAGCTGGAGCTGAGGGCGATGTGATGGATCTGGAATGCAGGCCCGGTCTGACTGTAGGAATTACCACACTGAAGGCACCCGGATTCATAGTATTCGAGCTTGCCTCCCTCGATAATCCTGGAGATCGATCAGAGAATCCATTTTGGAAGGAAGTATTGTTTGAGGCTTCATGAAGAATGGGCAGAATCTGCTCATCGTAAAGTTCTGCTCCAGGTTCGAAGGACTCTGGGGTATACTCAGTGATTGTTCTAGAAGATCTACCATCGTCATCCGTTGTAGGACTGGATGGCTCTTCGAAGAAATCGTCAAGGCTGTCCAGTTTGGTTGCAAGATCTCCCGAGTGAACGTCTCCGCGACCTTCATCAGACAGCATCGTTTCGGTTCGTTCTGGTGCGCCAAAGTAGTTGTATGGAAAGTCATCGGCATGAAACTCAACATCGGGGGTAGGCGAAGTTTCGGTCAACATCCCTTCTGAGCCCTGACAAGTATAGAAAGCGGCATGAATATTGGCCCGCGTAGCATCTGTCTTCTTCGCAGGCATAGGAATGGCCCATCCTGATGCCTCGGGTATTCCAAATAAACTCTGCGTACGCTCGTATTCCTTGCGGATCGCCCTCGAGGTTGGCCGTGTCATACTCATCCTCAAGTGGTGCTTGTCCATATGATTTCCAGACATGGTCATGATGTTGTCCAACACCTCAAGCGCCTCCATACAGAACTCTGTCTGTAGGAGCCGAAGAAGTGGGGAGATCAGATCGGATCCATGACCAGCGAGCTCAGGCTTGCGCATGTCCACTTCAGGAATTGCGACACAAAGGATCCTCATGGTCTGGATCTTCACCCACGACAACGAGTTTGTGAGAAGCCCGGTTAGGAAAGTTACCATCTGGAAGTCCATCTGCGGGAGAAAGTATTCTCGTAAAGCTCCCCACAGCTCAACAATGAAGTCTTTGCTGCTGTCCTGTGGATTCCCCATTGCGAAATCTTCCAGGGCCTCAGCGATACCAGCCAAGCCTTGATTATCAGCTTCTTCCTGGAGAAGTCTTGCTGTCTGGATAACGCTTTCGTCTGAAGTGGATCTCTCAAGTTCGTTCAAGAAACGGGGGAAGTTGGCTAGTAACGAGAAGAATAGACGGGACTCGTCGCCGACTAAGCCGTCGCTTGGTAGGTGTACCAACTTATCTATTGTGTCGAGAGTTGGTTGCCAACAAAGCGACGATCGCAGACCTTTGTGAAGTAGAGGCTGGATACCTTCGAATATCCCCTCCCAGCGAGACGGCTGGCCGTCGGCAAGTATTCGTCGCACATTTGGTGAGCTCAAATCCAATTTTGAAAGGAACTTATTGAGCATTTCGACCGCTTCCAAAAACTCCCGCTCGTTGATAGACTCTAAACAAGCACACGTCGTCCAAAACAGCTGTGGGAAGTTAAGAAGATCTTCAGCATCAAGCTTGACAATGATGGTCTTCAAAGTCGTCAAGATTTCCATAGAGAAGGATTGAATTTCCGGGTCTTCGTCAGCAATAGTATTGGACAATCGGGCAAGCATGTCTCCAAGCATTGGCTGGTCCACAGATGTAAGAACGCATCTGAAGATTTGGAATGACCGGCAAGCAAGATGTCGAACTGGGCAGGATGTCGCCCAAGTTAGTGAGAGGCGTCCCCAATGCTCTTTGATTCCAGGAAAGGTCATCTCAAAGGTTTTGATGACCTCTGTTGTAAGGAACTCCATACTTGGTGGCACTTTGCTATCGTGACCGTCAACCTTGCCGTTGCTATCCTCATATCCCCAGACCACAGAGCGATCGTGCCGACGAATCATGTCGATCAGATCTTCGATGGCTGTTTTGTCAACATCTTGAGTCTGGTCATCTATCTGCGATATGACCACCTCGTGTATAAGATGCACGAGCATTTCTCGTGCTTGCTCCTGGACCAACGGAGTGTAATGATCCCAAAGGACGGTGACGACCTGAAGAAGAAGCGGGACGTTTTCGTGGGTAAGGTGAACTGGAGATACCATTAGATCCACAAGTAGTATCAGTGACAGTTGGCCGAGAGAAAACCCAGCCTGCTTGGTTCCAACTGGAAGAGCCTCGGCCAAGTTAGCACAGTAGGGCAGAAGATTAATGTCAGCTGGGGGCTCAACAGCATCTCGCTTCTCGTTTGGTACCATAGCCTTCGGGGTTATTTGCATAAGAAGGAATTCAACAACCTTGATGCCAGGCGTGCTATTGGTTGTTGAGAGGAAAACGACAATTTGCTTAGCATACTCCACGAAATTCTGCTCCCGACGCTCAAGACATAGCTGCATGATGAATTCGAGAACCAGTCGAACGTTTCCTGGGTAAGGCCCAGTTGCAAGAGCCTGCCAAAGAGCCTGAACCTCATTATGCAGTGCGCCGCTGGATTTGATAGTGATCTCGAGCAGGTTTGCAAGCAATACAAATGACTGTGCCGCAGGTCCTCCACTAGGGTCCAACTTTAACTCAATGGACTGAATCCAGGGCAGCATGACTGCTACAACATTTCGCTGAGCTGCAGGCTGAAGATCCTTGAAGTAGAGGGTGAACTCGGAGAAGATATGAAATGCCAGTTCTGTGTGTTGCTTGGCAAGGCGTTTGGAGATTTCGAACTGTGCTAATTTGTATACAGCCTGCGTTTTGTCTGAGATGCTAATGTCAAAGTCCTGGATCTTGGAGTTTCTTTGTTGACGTGCCTCCAAGCTCCGAAGTACAGTCGAAGACTTAGACCGGATCTCGCTTTGATCATTGCCCAATGTGAACAGACACAAACCAAGGAGTTTCCAGAACGGACAAGGATAATCAATGTGATCCTGGAGAACTTGTGTGACCACGGTGAAGTAGCTTTCGAGGACTTTAGGGGCCTCAGCCAAGTAGCAACGTGCGATGCAGTGCTCCATCAAGTAAGGAACCTCCTGGTTGTGAACAATGAGGTTCTGGAGGGCTCTTCTGCCAATGACATTCATCTTATCGCTTCCCGAGTTGAAAATAGAGTCGATCCAAGCAAGCATGCGTCGAACATCAAACTGAAGAACCACGTTACTCTCAGTTGTGACGCTAATCGGTCCGCCACATAAAGCAGCCATTGCACTGAGGGCTGCAGTCCGAAGGTTTCTCTTCTCTATTTCCATCGCAGCAGTAGCAGTGCCTCGCTCGCCCAAGGTCTGTTGGTCAATTAGCGATTGCCGCATGGTGTCCTCTCGAGCACGGATCTGGTTCTGGTTCGGCGAGAATCCGCACCAGTCCTCCATCAGCGAGAACGCCGATTTTCGGGATTCAAAAGTCATCCATCGGGATGGATCTTTGGTTCTGTTAATTCCTTCAAATAGTGCTTCCATCAGTCCACAGTAATGGCGTCGGAGCTTTTGGAATTCCCAATCCATCTGGACTTCTCCGTCCATCAGGAATAGCTTCAGGTCCTTTGTATAGGTGGTGAGAGTAGTTAGAAAAAACTCGCCGTTGTAAACTTCAGGGTCTCTAAGGAAATGTGAGGTCAACTTGAAAACATGGGTAATCTCCGTTCTGAGAAGATCCATCTTCCTGTTTCTCCTAGGATTGCTGTTTGTCCTCTGATGTATCCGAGCCCGTGCTTCATCGTTGCATCGAGAGACTTGGCCTTGAAGTTCCTCAAGAAGAGTCCGATAAATATGAATATTGATGGACCCCATAGCCACAACAACAGCGTCTCGAACAGATGCGGACGAGACGGACAGCATGGGAATGAGGTACTTGAACAGCATCCGAGCCGTCACAATCTTATCTTTGGAGGACGCTTTGGACGCCTTCCGGACGTGCTGAGGATCCTGAGCCGTTGGCAAAGCGCCTGGGTCTGCCAGTGTTGTGCAAGCAAAGATTAGATACAGCTTCCATTGCTCCACCATCACCTCAGGATGGGTTGTCGCAGATCGGGCCCCTAGCCTAGCACTTCCTGGCTCGTTGTTGTAGTACAAGCCCCGTGAAGGTTCAGAGAGGTACACGATTGGCTTGTACATCTGCAAAATACGATTGCAAATGAGATCGCGACAGATAGTGACTGTAAACGGGCATTTCTCATAGGCCATGCGAATGAGCTTAGGGAATATTTTAAACCACAAAGTCGTATCATAAGAGACGTCACTGGCACAAAGCTCAACTAGAGCACCTTGGTTGTTGGCGTTTTGTAGACCCCGTTGC